CTTAGCTAGAAACCCCAAAACCCCAAAACCCCATTCTGCCTTTTTTAAAGAAAGAATATGAAGTGCAAATAAATAAAATAATAATGATATTTTGAGAACGGCGGTTGGTAATCATTTTGTTATTATAATTCTAATAAAATGAAAAAAGCTGAAAACAATTACGTGACCTCGATGGAGTTCACTAATGCACTTAACAAATACATTCCTTCTCTGGTGCTCTAACAATGGATAACAAAGGTTGATTAATAGCAGATTAATTTGCCAGAATTACAGCCCACAGAAACTGTAGTTCTATTTGCAGATATCTCAGGTTTTACCATGATATCTGAAGCTTGTGCTTTAATGGGGGTCAGAGGTAATGAAGAGCTGGCCTTTTGTATTAACAGATATATGGAAGGCATGGTTAAATCTCTCGGTAAATATGGTGGAGATATCATTAAGTTTGTCGGTGACGCAATGATAGTAATGTGGCCTAGATTTGGACCAGAAAATGGAAGCACTTCTCCAAGAGTTGATAAGACCAAAGAAACTTAGAAATAGGTTGTCTTTAAGGATTAATTGGATGATAGAGTGACTGTTGTCAGAAAGGCTATCTAATGTGCTATCGACATTTAAAATGAACTAAACAACAAAAAAATTATGAGCAATGTTACAAACCTGAGTGTGAAGGTAAACTCGTAATCAATTTATATTTATAGATAGGAATCGGTTTCGGGCAATGCGCATTATTATATGTAGGAGGAGTCTTCAACAGATCCGAATTTTTCACGGTTGGAGATGCTTTAACCTAAGCACTTAAATCCGAGGAAAATGCAACAGCAGGTGGTCAGATTATAGTATCATCTAATGCTTGGAACATAGTCTAAGATTTCTTCAAAAGTGAAGAGATTATTAATGAGCATGGGGGCAAATTCTATAAAATTTCAGGACTAGTCTAAGGCATCAGGACAAGAGCAGATGCTGTTCTTCTTAGGAATCTGATCCAAGCAGATAATTTCGCTAAAATCCAGAACAAACTAAAAAGTTGTATCCCAGCTGCAATCATGCCATACTTGGAAATAGGATATGAGCAATATGGATCTGAAACTCGCCGTCTAACCGTTATGTTTGCCAGTTTGGGAGTTGACCTATCATCAGCTTAAACCGATGCTGGGATGAAAAAGATCTAGAAAATAGTTACAACTGTTCAATAACAAGTTTACAGACTAGAAGGGTCTCTCAATAAATTGGTAATGGATGATAAAGGAAGTACGTTAATATGCATTTGGGGGCTTTGTCCTTTTTCACATGACGATGATGCTGCAAGAGCTATATTAACTGCTATTAATATGAGACGAGAACTAGCAAAGATTGAAAACACATGGTGCAATGTTGGTATATCAACTGGAGAAGTATTCTCTGGTGTTGTAGGTACTAGTGGCTCAAGAAAGGAATTCTCTGTCCTAGGAGATTATGTTAATTTGGCTGCTAGAATTATGTACTGGCCCAAAAAATATAAGCAAACAGGAAAGATAAATGTAGACTTGTAAACTAAAAAGGAGGCAGATAACTATATTAGATTTAACTACATGGGGCATTGCGAGTTCAAAGGAAAATCCGTGAGTTTGCCTATTTTTGAACCAATCGATCCTGACGAAGAGTCAGCTTAATGTGTAAAAAAGGTTGTACCTTTTGATACATTCTTAAGAATTCACTCGAACCCATTCTTGGTTGATAGAATGAGTGAACACAAGCGCAAGAATTGCAGGTAAATTGGCAGAGAAAACCTACTTCATAAAGTTTGTGATGAACTCATTGATTTTTTTGATAATGATCAAAAAGATACAAGACCTTACTTTTTAGCTATTATGGGGGAAATTGGAAGTGGAAAGACGCTTTTTGCTCGATGTGTCTATGATTAGCTAAAGAAAAAAAAAGATTTTCTTAGAGATGAAATGATGGGACCTGATTTTAAACCTATTCTTACGAGTTCAATAAATGCTGAATCCCAAATGAGATTCCTCAATATATGGAGACCTATTCTACAGATGATGATGTACATTCATTGCAAGAAGAATAATCAAACTCCAGATAAGATCATCAAAAGAATCTTAAAAGGCCAAGCTAATGAGATTCTTGATATCATTCTTGATATATATTCTCAGCATGAACTTAAAAAGGGAGGTATTAAGCTCCCTCTTTCAGATGATCCAATTTAGTTTGTTAAAAGAGAGAAGTATTCTGAGGAGACTGTGGATAGAGTGCTCGACTTTATGATTGAATTCATCAAGGAAGTTCTGGGTGAAAAAGATGACTATTACTCTGAGATGGATTAGTCCTAGATATCAGATGAAGAAAGGTCAAGGCAGTCTTAGACTAAGCAGTAACTAATGTTTGTCGAGACTCCATTAATCATTATTCTGGATACAGTATAGCTGATGGACGAAGCATCGTGGAAACTGCTTGAATTGATTAAAGATGAGTGCTATTAAATAGCGGTGATTCTAGTGATGCAAACAGATACCAATAATACTGCAAAGATTCATCCAGAAGCAAGGACATTCTATAACGAAACTTTTGGCAATCATCTTGAGCTGTTTAAAATAGTTGACTTACCCCCATTCAAGATAGATGAGCTCAATCATCTTGTGCAAGAATTATCCTCAAAGTACATGTCATCAATGACGGAAGAAATACATCTGATGACCTTAATTGAAGACCCTGCAACTTCAATTAAGAACCCAGATGTATGCAAGGCCAAAGAAAAGGAATTGAAAAGAAAAATGCTAGTAAATGAGAACTTTTAGCTAATTAATGATGAAATTTTGCAAATAACATTGCAGAGATGTGAGGGGAACCCCATGATTTGTCTTAATTTCATATTCAACCTTATCAATGTATGGAATTCTATGTTTTTTACATTTTTAGAACGATTTTTTGCAAGTAAAAGATCAATAATTACAGCCAACTAATCTTTTTAAGAAATGCAAGCAAAGACAAGATTGGAGCACAGTTCCAGTTCCAGGCATTACTCAAAAAATCAATACTACTCTGATTGATAGTTTCATCAAAGAAATGAGATCTAAACTAAACAAAGTCGACTCTGAAAATGCTGTGTGAGTATAATTATTTTATTGATCATTCAATAGGAAAGGAGTATTGATCCTTAAATCGGCAGCAGTCATTGGAGAGGTATTTGGGTCTAAAATTTTATAACATATCAGTCCCTTGAGACATGATACTCATAAGTCAATCCTTTCTGTTTTGAAAATATTAGAATAAAAAGATTTCATTGAGATCCTGGATGAAACTGATCCTAAAAATGCAATCTGCAGATTCAGAAAATGCTTCTTAAGAGAAACTATCTATCAAATTATGTTATACAGAGCTTAGAAGAAAGGGCTGCATCAATTGATGGTTCAATACATCCAAAATAATCCAAACTCTTTCGATAATGACCCTGAATAAGAAGCAGAAAAACTGCTTAATCACATATTGATTGCTGAAGATCTAGATAGTGAGGACAAGGTGCCTTTTAAGTCAAAGCAAGGTCTTATTGTCAAGAAAATTGCAAATAAGGTAATGAAGAATCCTAACTGTGTGGTCAAATCTGGATTTCTAACTAAATAAGGAGACAAGCCTAATAAGAAAGTAGAGAAGCGACTGATGATCATAAAGGCAAAAGAGATATCATGGTATCATAATGAGAAAGAATTCAAAGCTGCTAAGCCTCTAGGTGTTATCTATATGACTTCTATCTATCATTGTGTCCCAGCTAATACTGCAAAATCTACTGACGACTTAATAGTATTATTTATTTTATTAATCAATTTTAGATTGGCACTTGTGCATGGAGGAAAAAGGAAATAGAAAAAGAAGGGAAAAGAGAATTCATATTTGGAGCAAAGGATGAATAGGAAAGAGATGAGTGGATTTCTTGTATTGAGTATTTAAGGGCGAAAGCTATTTATGATAATTTCGTTCAAAGATATTGCAACATTTCTTTCCCACTAAGAAGACCATCAGAGGAAATATGTAAGTCAACTAATACTTAATAAACTTAATAGAGGCTGATCAAAGAGAAAATTTTCTTCAGATTATTAGTGATTTTGGCATGAAATTAAAGACTAGTTCAAGGTTCAATAAACCAGCAATCACCTAAGACGAGTAATCAATCTAGAGAATTCAGTAAAACTCTCTTAAAAACCCAAGAATAACAACTAAAATTGGGAGTTTCGCTGCATATAATCTTTAACAAGTCAATGAAAGCACATATATGAGTGCTGCTAATAACCCAAAAGAAATAGCAATGAAATTAAAGAAACTCTATAATGCTTCGATTATTTCTTTCATAAATCAAGTCGCTTAGAACTCAAATAAATAAGCTATAAATAAATATGACAGCTTAAGAAAAGTGCCTGATGTTTTGAAAAACACTAGTGTCCTAACATTTTAAGAAGATTCAAACAATGATATACACCAAGATTCAACAACTAGAACCAAGCCATCATTTATTATGAACAATACCACGCTTTAAAATCTTGTGGATGAATCCGTTCAGCATTAATAAAATGACACTACTTTAAAGTTAAGAGAACTAAGGAAAATTAGTGCAATAGCAAAGAGAGAAATATTCGATGATAATAAGGATCTAAAATCCTGTCTTGAGGAAATGAAAGGTGTTGGACTGAAATCGCCTAAGAAGAAACTGCACGATTAAGCCAAAATTACTGAGGAAAATGAGGATGATCATTCTGATGACAGCATAAACGATAGTAGCTTACCAAGAAAAAGTGCGATCTCTGATTTAACTGCTAAGAGTGGCTCTCCTAATCAAAATGGTATCATTCCATAGAGTTACTATACTTAAGCAGACGAAGGCAATTAAAACTTCATTTCAAAGAGAGTTGATCAGAAGAAAAATTAAAAAATTGCTTAAAATTAGAAATTATCTATTCTCTAAACTTAACCTCTTCTTCATTAATAACAAGAGAATGAAATGAAACTTAACAATAATGCTAATAATCTTAACAAGAAATCTAGAATGTCAAGATAACTTGAGCTTTCTTCAGCTTTAACCAAGCAGAGAGAACTCACTTTTCATAAATAAGGACAAGAAGAAGAGCAAAATTAAAACTAGGAAACTGCTTAATCTTTATTCGCCTTAAGTGTCAATCCAACTTAATAAGGTAAAACCCCAAAGAAGAGTTTATCTCATTTTGAATAAATTGAAGAGCAAGATGAACTTCAAAGAGAGGAAAGGTTGAATGAGAGGAGATAAACTCGGAAAAAGGCAGGCTATGAACCATCAAATCGTTCTTCTTCTTCATCAGAGGAAGGTGAAAAACAGGAGGAGAGTGTTATTGAAGATGAAGAGCACGAAAAGAAGTCTAAAGGAAATGAAACCAATAGAGATACCGGGAATTTTTCATAGATTGAGCCTCATGAATTCAATAGCAATAGTGTTTCTAAGAAGCAGCAATCTCAGAATATTTCACAGCTTAGAGGATCAAAAGACTCATTGAAACTTAATTACAGTTTGATATAAAAATAAGACTCCCTGAAGCAATCCTCTAAATTGACTAGTGATTTTTCAAAGAAGCACACTTCTCAAAATTCTAAGGATCTTAAAGATTTGAATGAGCAAACCAATAGGAGTGAATCAACATAGTAAAATAATATACAGTCTGCTGTAGTCTAGCAAATACCAAATATTTCGGAAATTATTGCTTAGACTATTTAAGATCAAGTTAGCAAGAGCTTCTAATAAATGATGTAATAAGTGTAGAAATTGACTTAGATTAAATAGTAAGATAATAAGACACCCTCACCTCCATACAACAGAAATGATTCCTCTTAATCTAAGTCTATGAATAGTAGTATCTATGATGATGAGTGGAGACATTAATAGCTACTTAGAGCTCAAATATCTGGTGGAGCAGCATCAAGTAAAAAGATATCGCTTTAACAGGCGATTCCAAAAGGGTCAAACTTAGCTTCATCTAATAGAAGCCCCTATCTCACAGTGAGAGAAAGGCCTTAAAGAGAGGAGACAGAAGTTGATGAAGATGATGAATACTTGAAAGATCCATTAGTTGAATAGGAATATCTTAGAATGTAGCAGTAAAATAATTAAGCAAAAGCTAATAATCAAGAAAATGCTTCAAATGCTCTCAGGTAAAATAATAAATAGCAAAGACACAGACTAATTGGAAGTTAAGACTATGCTGACCCATAATTATCAAATTTAAATTAAAATAGTAAGAGCCAAACAAGACCTGCTTATTAAACTCAGCAATAGCAAAGATAACAGCATCAATATTAAAATAATCAGAATTTTCCAACAATCAACAACAACAATGGACACTACAGTCAAAGTAACTTAACATATTCTCCCTCTACAGTGAATAGATGACCTTAAGATTATTCTCCTTTAAGCTTGAATTAAAATCCAAATCCATTGTATGCAAACCATTCTTAATCTCAGTTCGCTCATCCGATTTAGCATCCTTACAATATGCCAATGCAATATCCACCATATAACATGCCACCACCCTAGGGCTTTTATGACCCTAATTACATGCCTCTTTACTAGCAAAGACAGTCAATGGATAATGAGTTATTTAATCTTGATGATTAGTTTGATGTCTATCCTACAGCGTACACAAATACTAATAATCAATTTATCTCAGATATATCCTCAATAATTGGAGGAGATACTCTGGAGCCACTAAATTAATTTGCAATTGTCCTTGAAGATACCTAATGCTAATTGAAGGGAGACTTGATTTAGCTCTATGAAGGGGATAAAGTGGAAGTTTTAAAAATTCTGAATGAGCTGAACTGTGCAGAGTGTAGATTTAACAACCAAATAGGAATGTTCTCTTTGAATTCTATCAAATTGATTAAGAGGAATACAAATCCTAATAGCAGCAACAATTAAAATCAGAAATCTCCTAGAATATAGAATTTGAGAGATAGCAGTACCTAAAGATAAAAAGAAGAGTAGGAAAAAGCAAGAAAGCCACCAAAGAAGTAGGCTGATCCGAGACTCATTGAGCGCGATAGTTAAGCTTAGTTCTTTAGATAGAAAGATAACCAGAGTCAATCTAATAACAGGTAGAACTTTTTCAAGTAAAATACTTAGGACAATAATTAAAGATCTAAATCACCAATAAATAATTAAAATCAATAGAATCTAAAATTAAATGAAAGAAAAAATAAAAAGTAGAGATAGGATAAGGATTCAGCAGAGAGATTCATAGAGTAGTTGCGAATGTGAGGATTTCTAAGTAACCATTCTAAACTTATAACACCTAAAGTTAACACCTATTATAATCTCATTTATTTCTCAAATATTTAAATGCCATTTTTTATCCTATCGGGGTTTTGGGGTTTTGGGGTTTTGGGG